TTAGGACGAACGTCCAAATAAATTACTGGATAGACGGACGTGACTCTCTGTTTGATCAGTTGAAGGAACTGACTCTATTGAGGGTATAATGGTACTTGGTAAATTTTCGTAATAAAGAAGAATATCTTGGACCAGATTCAATATACTAAGGATAGTCAATAACACTTAGAACCTTTCTTTGTAAAATTTTGTATATACAGAACCGATGCCAATATTTGTACGAACGTGAGAGGATGAATATTGAAATATTTGGACGAACGCTATTTACGTTCATTAAGAAATCAAAGATAAGGACGAGCGTTCGGTTTAAGACCGAACACTTCATTAATGCGAACGCTCGGTAGATGACCGAGCACCAATCATGACGAACGCTTGGTTTAAGACCGAGCGCTATTTAGGACGAATGCTTCGGTACAAGACCGAGCGCTATATAGAACGAACGCTTCGGCATAAGACCGAACGTTACTTAATTCAATGTTATTTAATTTAAGGCGTACGACAACTCTATGCTGAACCTAACGCTCAAACATAGTATTTCAAATGAGGACGCTCGTTCTCAAACCGAATTCTTCCCAAATGAAAGAATTCTACTCTAAGTCTTTTTCAGGGAAACCGAACGGTATAAGACCGTACGATGACGAACGTAATTTATCTTAGGGAAATTATCATATCCAGATTTTCAAATGTCTTAACTTTAACATTTTTCATACGATTCAAACTCTATAAATTCATATCCACATTAATTTTCATACTTTATAACATTACTTCACCTCATCAAATCCAACTATATATTGTTCATTCATCCTTCATACGCATCAAAATCAACATGCATTACACCCCAAAACAAAATCATAATCATCCAGTACAACAGGTTCGTTCATAACAGCTTCAACATCATACTTTTCATACATTCACATCAGATCATACAACATGCAAGTATAAATTAAACATATAAGCTTCCCTTACCCGGATTGAAAATCAAACTTGTCCTAGATGCAAAAGTGGCTTCGTCCAACTACGCTTATGTTCTTGACTTCTTCCAAAACAAATCTAACCACAGAAAACAGAACACTTAGACTACCTACTTGCATGCAACTACAACCCTAGTTTTTCCAGAAACCTAAGGACAAGCTTCTGAAGAAGACTTACCAGTTTCAGTCTTTGAAACTGTTCGGTCCAGTTGGTAGCTTGTAGTTGGGTGAACGTTCCTACGGTGCTGCAAGTTGATCGGAGAAGAGACGTGAGAATTACAGTAGAGAGAAGTTGGAAGTTTTAGAGAGAAGGTGGAGAAAATGAAGGGTTGAGTTCAGAGGTAGAAGATGAGTGCGTGTAGGTGAGAGACAGATTTTCAAAAATCCAGTTTTGTTAAACTCACGTTCGTTCGAACGAACGTGTCCCAAGCTGACACCTGCACACTAAATTCTGAACTGGAAGCTTCTCCCACGACAGGTGGCGTATGTGCATGTGGTGCAAAGTGAGTTTTTAATGTTTCAGAGAAATGATGTGGTACGGTTTTCCAGTGCACAGAAGAGTGACGTATACCATTAGGGAGTGAGTTTCCAAAGGGAATAAGCATTGATGTGACGTAAATTAATTTGATGTGACAGAGATTTATTACTGCTAATTATTTAGGGTCTCACACACCATAATCTAAATTACTAAATAAAATACATTTTAAAATTAAAAACCATCTAAAGTTTAAAAATAAATAATATTAATTAAATTTAAAAATAAAAAATATTTAAATATCTAACCCAGAATGTAGGTACAAAGGAATGCATAATTGTATGGAAAAGAGTGTCGAGAGGGAGCCTAGCACCAACAAGGAGGGAGGCATAAAAGAAGGAAAACATCATGGGACACATGACGAACTTGACTAGGGTGGAGGAATGATTGACGAACGAAAGCACGAGCGATGTGGAGACTACCAATAACGATGCAAACGTGAAGCCTAGTATAATTAATATATACTCACTTAAGTCTGCATTTTAATATGGAGAGTTTGGTGCGGAGTTAATTAAGATGCAAACTTATAGAATATTAGGAGTCATAATTATAAAATATTAGGATCATATAATTTTATTTTTTATTCACGTTGTAAATTTTTTTTTTTTTTTACAATCCAAATTTGAGAATGGTATATTTAAGTTTTCTTTTATAGTTTAGTTGTAAATGAGATATATGTGCATCCTAAATGAAATTGATGGAATGCAATTTGAAATTTTTGTTCATAGTGAAATTTACCTAAGAGTGTATCATCTTTATGCTTTCCATATTTGGCTCACACTGATCTCGCCTTCCCTTCTCTTTGGTTGAACATTGAATGGGCCTTTGTTGGACTATTTGATTCCTTGTCTTCTCTTGGCTAACATTTGCTCCTTTTAGGCCTAGTAAGCCTAAGTATAACCTATTATTAGGCTAAAACAACTCTTTGCACCTCTTTTTCTAGGAAATTAACAAGTTACTTTTTATATACTACTTCAAGAAATACAAAATTAAATATATTAATAAACTACTTTTGTCAATAGGAACATTTTTTAAAACTCCAAGTTATCCTCAAAAATAACGTGTTCTTAATCATTTCATTTACTTTATGTCAATTTGAAAAGGAATCAATATAGAAACTATGATTTATTATGTTTCTTTTCTCATCAACATATTATGCCAATTTTTAGCCTACCCATTTTGTCAATTTGAAACATAGTTCATTAAGAAACTATTATTTATTATGTTATGACAATTTTTAACTAACATAAGTATTTAAAATTTGAATTTGGAAATCTTGAATAATAATGAACAATACACATAACTATTATATTTTGTTAAAAATTCACAACATCGATCAAGTTGTATTTGTTTTTATAGATGATACTATTAATGCATACGTGAAATAATTAATTTTTTATTAACTAAGATGTTTATTTAAATGGATATGCAATAATTTGTGGGTGTCCATTTGTGAGAGATAATACTCAAGTATTCCACGCATGTCCACGAGATTTGGAGGAATAGATTTTTGATATACGACTCAAACACCCTTAGTGAAAGAGACCATTGATTTTGTGCTGTTGTATATTTTTTGGAATTCTGGTTGATTTTAGAAAAGAGTGGATTCGAATTTTTATTTTCTCGATTTCAATTGTATTTTAAAAATGTTGAAATCAATTTTTTAGCTTCTAGAATCGTTTGAAAGCCTTTGTTGGAATCGATTCTTGTGCACGTGTTGGAGGGTGAACCGATTCCACGTACCTGAAATATTTGCATTCATGTCATAGTCCAATAATACATTACTTGATCTTCCATTCATGATATTCAGGCATTTGCTCCAATCCAATTGTGCACGTTGCTTTGGATCTATCCATATTCTAACCATCCAATAAAAATGTGAATATGCAGTCAATGAATGCTACAATCATAAAGTGCAATTCTAAAATTAGAGAGAAGAAAAATAAACTCAAAACATTAAACGATCAATCCAAATCTCAATTTATATTGTATGTTATTGATTTTGCGAATTAAACTTTAAAAATTAATTATATGTAAATAAAGAACTAAAAACACAATAGAGAGAAAAGGATTGAAAGATAATTCGAAATTTGAGAGAAAAATAGAAAAACATATTAAAAGTATTTTGGCAGACAATATTAATTTATTTCTTATTTTCTGTGCTTCAACTCTGGTACACAATGCACACTAAGTCAAATTTAGCAAGAAATATAATTAGCCCCACAAGCATATGAGAAACATTATTGTATGACTATAAGCTAAAAGGCCATGCTAATCTGTTATCCTTTAAGCTATCTTATAATGATAAATCTGAATGTTGTCTTGATTTTGTTTCTTGAAATTGCTTCCCTTTCTGTGAACAAGGAACTTGCCCCATTTGTATGCCCTATATTTGGAAGGGTTCTCCTCATTTGTCATCTCCTCCAAAGGCTTCACTTCTGTGTCCTGTGCAGGGTTGAAGAAAAATGGAATGGAAAACCTTTCTTTCTCAGAGTTAACCATCACTCTGTGTTCCACACTCTCATACAAATCATTGCTCCAAACCTGCATTAACTACCCACTTAATTCTCAAATACAACAACTATCACCTTCTAATCAATCCTGGATCATATAGTTTGAGCAACCCACCTGAATAATATCACCAACATTGATTATGTAAGCATCTGCTGTAGGTTTGACTGGAACCCATTCTTGATCTGCTTTGCGTTTGACTTCAAGTCCTCCAACCTCATCTTGTGCAAGAATGGTTAAGGCTCCACCATCCTTGTGTCGACCAACACCAAGGGCTAGGTGAGGATAAGGGCATGGAGGATAGTGGTTGAAACGAATAAAGCTGGTTTGATCTTTCGTGAAAAACTCTTCAAACCTCTTTGCCTCAAGGCCTAAGCTCAGAGCTATCAGCTCCATCAACTTAAAGGACAACTTTTCCATCTCTTCAATATACTCTTCTATTAAATCCCTGCTCATCTTTAACTAATTGTTCATCTCTAGTTGACAGTGTATAGTTATTGATTACAGAGTGAAGATGAATTACCTAAAGTTTGAAGGGTAATCGGGGGATGCATTAGTCCATTGAATGAGTCGATCATCGTGTTCATCAGAAGATGCAGGAATGGAAGTGGGGTCTTTGGCTAGAAAATCAAACACTTCTTTCCAGTCCCTGACGTTTTTGGTGAGTTCTGTGTCATAGTAACCGATTAGTGAAATCTCATCTCTGCTAACCTTCTTCTTCTCTTCCAGAGTTTGAGCAAAGAACATCCTTGAAGCATTTTCAAGCCTTTGCCTTAGAGTCAGGGAGACCCCATGGTTGATTACTTGGAAGAAGCCCCACTCTTTGCATGCACTCCCTGTCTCCTTCACTAAGCTTTCAATGGAAGATAGATCTGAAACTGTTTGGTTGGTGATTGGAGAGAGATCAATTATGGGAATTCCTTCGACTTGGATGGAGGAGAGCTTTGGCCTGTGTTCTGGGTCTTGGATGAAAGCAGTGTCAACCTCTCCCATGGCTGTTGCTGATCAACAATGATTGAGTACTTTGCCAGAACGCAGACTCTACTAATATACGTGAACTTGTTCACTTGTTTTGTTTCAATTTCACTACCTAATACCATTATCCCTTTTTCCAATGAACAGTGATTATTTTGTGATATATATTTATGCGCACAAAACTTTACAATAATATTCACGGAAAGCATTGAACCAATGAGATTATTACAACTCTGATCAATAATCAATGATAGAGAGGGAAGATTTTACGTAATATACTGAAGAATTTTGAACACCTACGTCACAATCTCTTTCTGGGAAAATGGATGCTACAAAAATCATTGATGTTTACGTGATGTTAGAAAATATATGTGGTGGTTGCGGGGAGAGTGTATCAAAGTTTATTATAGTCTCCGCGCACATACATTGAATCTGGACTCGTGCGTGTGCATTGTCATGGTCTAACGTGAGAAGAAACAAAAGAAAAGTATACGTTGAAAACGGAATTAAAAAAAATTTTGATAATACTTGCACTTGTAGTATTTAAATTTTTTGGTTTATATACACGCTTTAGCCCTATTCGAGCAATTGTAATTTTATATTATCAATTATTTTCTTAATTTTAATACCATTCTTTAACGAGATTCATGTCCATGCACCTTCATATGGATATAACCCTTTCACCAGATGACAAATAAAGATCCAATTTATCTATACAAAAGTTATATTAGAGGACGCCGTGTTTTATGAAGTTGGAGAAAGTTCTCAACCTTAGTGATGAAAACAATGATGATAAAGAAATTTGGGAGTGATGATAACCGTGGAGAGTAAGATTGTTTTCAACTTTCTTCAAAATGAAAGATTGTTTTCAACTTTCTTCAAAGAGGAAGTGTTTTGTGTGTTAGAAAGTAGGACAACTAGCGAAAGACTGTCTTAGTAAGAAAGAAACAATGTATACATGTGATTACTATCGATGGAGAAGAGAGAGGGTAGCATGGTGCAAGGTTTTTCTTCTGTATCTGATAGAATTTTGAAAATGTAGTATATTTTAAAGCGAACAATTCATTTTAGTCATAGTTAGAGAGTTACCCTTTGAGTTTTCGGTTTGTTCAGAGCTTTCGATTGTGATAGAAGGACACGTATTTAAAGTCAACTTTTCTTTTGTCAATGACATTTGGCATTGGACCAATGTCTTACGGCATGGCTTCAGCTGAAGATGACTCCACCTATTGAAGTTGAAAAAGCGTTGAAAAATTGCTAGAAGAAACAATTTACAAAGTATGTCTCCGTGAAAACATGATTACACTTCATAAGACGATGGTTTAACACATAACAAATTTTAAAAAACACAAGTGTTACCTCTAACAAACAATACCTCACTATCTAATTTTAGTTTACATGAGACAAAGCATAGGTGCTCCCATATGATACACTAACATAGAAGAGGTGAACTAATTTCATACGGAAAAATAAGTAACGCATAAAAGGTTTACGTTGCAAAGTCACATTAGAATGATCTCTTGAACAATGATTGAATAAAACCGTCAAGGGTTTGTGGTGGTCAAAGAATGAATGAATAAGGGTAAAATGGAATTTATAGTTTTATAACGGTGCAGGAAAAAAAAAAGGTGTTGGAAGCAGCAGTCAATCCCATACCATACCAATAACGTGTAATCAATGGGATCTAAAATTCCATACTCCTTGGGGAATGGCATCCAATATTCACTCCCAATGACTATGAACTATGAATCCTGCAAGTTGGCCTTAGCCTGTTGTAGCTTCAACAATTTGGCCACCAATCTCATTTAGACAGAAGCACACAACAATATTTTGTAATTGCTAAGTTAGTAAGGAAATTCTAGTTTGATGATGAACTGCTGACAGAGTGGTTTGGCTGCACCATTGGATAGATGTAAAAGGATTCAATAACGGTAACGATGCACAGTAAATCTTGGTGGCATAACTAAATTCTGTAATACTCAAGACTTCCAAAAGATCAGAAATTCAGACTTCAAAACTTCAATATACAACCACTTTCATCATAGAATCTGAAGAAGTAATAATTAGATCGGGAAAAGTATAACTGTTCAAATTCTTAGAAAGTCCTTTGACTCAAAACCATCATGTCTCGCAAAGAGCAAGTTATTGCTTCCTTCCTCTTCCTTTCTTGCTTGGTTGAGCATCCATTTGCTCTTTTCCAGTGACTTCTGATAGATCAACTGCAGAATTACAAATGATGGAGAATGTAAAAAGAATCTCAGCACCAGACAAGAAAAACACAATCAATGTAAACCATAAAGGAATATTGCACTGAGTGGTTTCGTATTCTCAAAAGAATCTGTCTTTGACCATTTTATAGATAAACACGATGTTGCACAGAAGTCTTTTTAGTTAAAGCATCTATCACATTAACAGCTTAGAGGAAGACATACCATCAGGACCACGGGCCATCAAAGCAAAGAACATATGTTCAGTTTTTCCATCTTCTTAGCCTCCTGTGCTTGGTCTGTCTTGTACTTACGACACTGTAAAAAGTACAACAATTGACAATTAGAAATTAAGATTACGAGGCTAATAATGTAAGAGGCAGTCCAATATAAAACAATGGAAAAATGATGGCTAATTGCTAGGAATATAATTATTACAAATCATTGAATAACAGATTTTGTTCTGCTAATTAAAAGCGAGCTCATACGCGGCTAATTAAATTTTCACCACCAACAATCATGAGAATTTTATTAGTATATTTTTTCTTTGTCAGAATAATTATAATGTTAGAGTCATTATTAAGTTCTAAGAAGGGAGTAGTGTGTTGGGAAGCTGCTTCATGTTGTACCTAGTTATGTCATCTAGGTATCTAGTAAACTTTTTTGATCTTTCATCTTCCCATTATATCAGATTTCTATCATTATAAATAGAAGATGATTCCCAGCAGGAGGTCTTTCAAGCCCATCAAAAATATATGTTCTCTCTGTTTTAATCTTAAGCTGTTTTAAAAAACATTTATAATACATTCTTATGCATTACAGTAAAACCCGAATGTTTGAAGCCATTACCACCGTCTACCCCTATAGGAAGATGTTAATAAGCTGAAGGGGCTTGTGTAATTTCACTAACCATTACGACGATTAGTTATTTAGTCGACAAAGCACCTCCACCTTTTTAAAATTTTTACAGTAACTTGAGAAGGAAGGAACAGAACACGAAACAAGAGGAAACGAGAGGGACAGTAGGTGAGAGTAGAGAGGGAGGGGAATTAAAGGGAAGAGAGGAAACAAACAAAGGCAGGAGAGGGATCATGTATTAGGAAAGGGTCTTGCGCAATTAGGGCAGTAGGGTATTGTGATAAAAATGGGTGATACAACCTTGGAGTAAAACAATCCAAAGTAAATTCAACCCATGGAAAGCAATTCAGCTGGCACACAAACTCATTAGGGAGGAAAAAAAATAATTGGATCATCATTCATCAAGTTGGCAGAAAAAAGAGACAACCATGAACTGCAAGATTGCCAAACAACTCTTCTGGTAAATAATAATGGTTATGTAATTTGGATTGAGGAAACAAGGTAACTTATCTCTCAGCAGTAAAATTGGCTGAACACTGAATTAAACACATTAAAACATTTTTATAGAAGAATCAGATTATATGATTCATGTCAATCCACATTTAAATCTCAAAACATGCACCAAAAGAAGAAACTGGCATTTTTAAAAATTAAAATACATGAATATATATTGTTTTGGTCTAGAAAAACAAACTTATAACTTGTAGCGGTTATCAGTGACCTTAAGTAAAAAAGTGAAAGAAAAAGGAATGTACTTAAGGAAATACAGTGG